TTCTCTTTTCCCGTCTTGGTCACTTACTTTTCTTCTCTGACTTTTTCTTCAGAGTTGCGCCTCTCTGAGAATACAGACCGAGGAGCGCTGCTCTTCTTGGCTTCGGGTTCTCGGTTCTTGGCACTTGGCTCTTGGCTTTTAGCTCTCGGCACTCTTTCGGTTCAAACTGCGCTGCAGTTATTCATTTTTACGTCGCTCATTGCTCAGATTTTACGAGGCAAAAATTCGGAAATTGTACTTTGAACCGAGCGCGCGATTCACGCGGTATTCGACCCGCAAGCGATTCTTCTTTGACCGGTGTCGACGTGTACGTGCAGGTAACTCAGTTCAACTCCGAGGAGAGTTAAGGCTATGAGTTACCTCGACACTGCGAGCGCCGATGCAAATCTCGCTCGTTTCTTTTTACTTCAACTTGCTTTGCATTGCGAAAAAGATGCTTTTCTTCAGTCTCGCTTCGTCAGTTTTGCTTCTGACCCTTCGATAATATTGCGTAAATACAGCCAATGAAAAATCTGCTGTGCCTTCGGACATACTCCAAAGTTAAAGAATTAATGATTTCGAGAGAACTGCCTCCTCACTTTCAAACTGCCGTTTTTATGAATGGGAATAAATCCGAGTCTTTACAATATTTTTCATCTCGCTTATTTTCTTTAGCAACATTGAAATCTCTTTTTTTATCTGCCCTCCATCCCCCGCACCCCATCCCGTCCTCTTTTCTGGGTATGTTTATATGCACGAGCATGTACATGTGCAATGTACATTTTTCTGTGAATCTCTCTCTCTCTCTCTCTCTCTCTCTCTCTCTCTCCCTAATTTTCATGAATTAGTAACTAAAACTATGTAAATAAACGCTCAATTAAATGTTTCAAAACTATCTTCGAAGGCCAACTTTATTTAACCTCGCGCTTCCATTTCTACTTCTCGCGTTTTATCGAGCATAAAATTTATTAGAAACTTGATCAATTCACATTCAAGAGCCTTAAGAACTTGGAATTAATATTTATAATTATTTAAATTAAATGTTATTACACTATATCTAAAAATAAAAACAACTATGCACGTTTTAATACTGGTATTTCGTTTCACCTAACAAAAATATTATGATTCTTTGCAATTGATATTCATAAGAGTGATGATAATAAATATGCAAGTGTAAAGTAAAGCACGAAATTTATAATTAAAATATATTAATAGCATTAAATGAAATCTATTTAATTTAAATTCACGTAATTCGTATTAATCTAAATTTACGTATTCGATAAAAGCAATCTCATTCCTGTTAATTCATTTTGTTATTGAAAGTATAGTATTATATTAAAAATAGAATTTGGTTAAAAATTCATAATTGTTTCTATTTCGTGTGCAACATTTTCTTATAGTTATACAAGAATTTAATTAAATATTTGATCAAATTGAAAAGTTATATTTTGTATTGGGAATTTCAAAATATGATAGAATAGTAAATTAAAATATTTATAAGTGATTAAAATGTTAAAAATATATAGAATAGTGTAGTTGAGTGGATAAAGAAATCCACGTATTTAAGTTTGTCATTACTGATATTCGGTTATGAATTAAAAACTTTGAATAATACTTATGAAAATGTGGTCAGCTAATCGGTTTGTTTGTGTTTATGTTAGTTGAATTATCACTTTTTAAATAAATGATCTATAATTTATAACGAATGCTCGTGGCAAATACATCGATGAAGGGAAAATGAGGAGCTACTCTCATTACCGCAGTGAGATGAGAAAATCTGAGCCTCGTTTAGAAGCTTTTAGTAAGTAGTAGTCCGAAAACAGTGAAGCTGATCGGCAAAAAGTTGGGAGAAAATTTCATGCTTACAGCCGGCACAATGTAAAATCAATAAAAATTCCGAGAAAAAAAAACGAGAGAGTTCATCAAGAAAGAGCGTTGAAAAAAATGAGGTTACACCCATTTAATCTCCATATTCGTTGAGGCTCAATCAAGGCGAAGAAGTAGCGCGGGGAGGAGGAATCGGACGTGTAAGGCTACAGGAACACTTTACGATAATCGTAAAAATTGTAGGCTCTTCGGCGCCTTATCCTTTTTACGCCTATCTCCTTTCGCGTGTACAGAGACGGGCATCGGGAGTCCCGGCAGTGGAAAAAAAAACGAGACAACTAAGAGAGAAAAACAACGCAAGAAATTACGCAGCCCCGGTCCCACGAAAGACGCATCAGGAGCCGTAAATCAAAGGTCCAGTAAAACCGGACGCAAGTCTAAATCAGTGAGGAATCGAGGGTCCTGGATACACAGCGACCGCTTCTCGGGTTCTGTCGCGCGACGCGAACGCATGGGAACCGGGGCTCGCGCCTATCGCATCTCATCCCCCCCCCCTTCCGCTCCCCCTTACCGCCATACCACCATCTCTCCCTCACTCTCTTCGAATTTTAGTGCCTTGGCGAGCAGACGAGAGATGCGGAAAGCCAGAGAAGGCTACGTCTCAATTAAATACCCGAAAACCGATCGGCTTTTGGGGCGCGAGCCACGCGCGTCGCGCCAGAATATTTATTTCGCTGAAGCGACTATAAGTACGATGGGCTCGGGAAAATACCTTCGATATTCCGACATTCTTACGAGTTTTATGACTTTTTCATTTAAGCTGTAATAGAATAAGAATAACACATAAAGTACATAAGATGTAAGGAGTAAGAGAGCTGCCGGAGCTTACAAGTCTAATGATCAGCGCCAATTGATTTATCAGCTAAGCTTTACAGATTCGATGATCCAAGTCTACATCTATGCAATTGATTCGATGTATCTTTCATTTTCTTTATATTACACTCGCCACATGCTCCATTCCGAGTTCCTGATTTTCTAATGGCATTAGTGCATTTGTAATATTGTTATTTTTACTACATTTCTATTGATTGACAACTCTTCTATCCAAAATATCGATTATATTGTAGGCACTTTGTTTGAGTTAGTTACCTCAACTCCCACATTTGCAATTGTCCAATATTGCCATTAACAGGATATTATGTCACCTATGATCTTATAAATACTTTCGGTTCCATGATAATGCAATTTATATTATGCTCTTATGTATGTAATTACACATGGAGTTTTCACTTATTCTCCTTATAAATTTCATGCAAATTCCCCTATTTATGCCTTGTACATACATATCCAAGCTAATACCTTTATTGATATACTTAATTAAATATTTATCTTATTGACATTAATAATAAATATAATGAATATTATCGATACGAAAGTAGGTGCTAAACATATGTATAATTATCAATATTTCTTCTTTGCGTAAGCTTTTTTTTTAATTCTTCAAACTCTGGTATATAAATTAAATTTTAATAGTTTATGATTCTCTAAGTGATCGTCGAAGTGAATATTAAGTCAAAAGAATTTGTAATAACCACAAAAAATTTAAACAAACACGTATCTAATAATACGAATCAAAAGGCTTTCACGATGTAAAACTGCTCAATGATAGTCGCAAGGAATTATAGAAAATTTGCGATTCAATGACACTAATTAAATCCCGATAGGCGCGATAGAATTTGAATTTGACCGAATAAAATAATTAAAACTGTAATTAACTGTTTGTAGGATTTCTGTTGTCGAGTGTCTTATTGATTATTTGTCCGATAAATCAAGATTAAGAAAACTTCTTGCGTCACCAATTTAATAATCGTATTTTAGTTTATGGCTGCATTGACATTGATGTTAAATTAATATAATAATTATTATTAATATTGTTGTTGCCATTATTATTATTGTGATAGTTGTTATTATTATTATTATTATTGTTGTTGTTGTTGTTGTTGTTGTTGTTGTTGTTGTTATTGTTATTATTATCGTGAGTAATGTAAGAAAAGTGTATGGAATGAAAATTTTAAATGACATATAATTATTATTAAAATTTCAAGTTTAATAAGGAATAAATAATTTATTATTGGCAGGTGTAATATTTCTAATCATTCAGCGATATTGCTAAATCATAAGCTGGTGCTTGTCGAAGTTTGAGCAAGTGGACTATTTCGGATAATCCGTGGATTTTTAATGGAAAAAGGTTCGAGTGCATACATATATGGTTCGTCATTAATAACCCGTAAATATTTTATTCCGAGGTCTAATTTTTAATGTATTATTGGGTGGAAAATCAACGCTATTGTTTGTAATTACGAAAGATCTAATGCTAATAATGAGGCAAACAGCTATTTAAACAAGCGGTGGAAACGCATTCGAGTACAATGTAAGAGATGCAATGGCGGAGCAGTGAGTTTTTCGAAATTGAAAAACGCAAAATGAAAAAGGTGCCCGCGAGCGACTTAATATTAAAAATTTAAGAATTATCCCAGAATGAGAAATAATTAAGTCGATGGGAAATTTGAGCGTCCTGCCAGTCGCATTGATAAAAGGTGTCGGTCAGTTTGGATAGAGAGACTGCGTGCGCGAGTGCGCGAGTGAGTGAGTGAGTGAGTACGTGAGTGCGTGCGTGCGTGCGTGCGTGCGTGCGTGCGTGCGTGCTTGCATGCGTGCGGGGGTTAAGGGAGCGGGAGGGATTGGGAGCGGCGCGGCGGCGAATGATCGTATAGGTAGCCGGTGAGCAGAAGCAGCGGCGGTGGCAGCGTCGCCTCGCGCTCGCTGGCTCTCTCCGACCATGTGACTGATTCCCCTTCTCCGACGCCAGCTCGCACAGGTTGACGAGGAGGGCCTGCCTACCTGCCGGCCGCTGCCCCGCTCTCATTACGACGCGGACTCCTGCGGCAGGTGCACCCTACTCGAGTACAGTCTCTATTGACACTTGCCGAGAGCCGCCGGCGCGCGCATACCGAATCGTGCCGTCGTGTAATCCTAGGGGCAAGCTAAACTCCAGGCAATATTATTGAAAATAGTTATAATTATAAGACTAACAATAAGCATAATAATAAATGGACAGATGCAGACAGATACATAAGTAAATAATAAAATATATAGAAGGATCGAGAAGGTGGGTGGGTGGGATGGTGGGAGGATGGGAGGGTTGGTGGGTGGTAGGTAGGAAGTAATAAAGGGTGGGAGCGAAGAGGACGTAAAGAGGAAGGAAGGGAGGATAAAGTAAAGGGTAGTGCGCGAGTGCCGAAGAAGAAAATGCCGAGGAGTAGACAGTGCTTAACCTAGTGCACTTCGAGCCGCGTATATTAGCGTTCGAGGAAGCAGACCTCGATCCTTCACCTTCGTACTCGCCCCACGAGATCTACAAAAGCCCAATCCTGGACGTTCTGGCGCTGACAGCTGGACGGACGGACAAGTGGAGATGTCCGAGGCTGCTCTCTGAGAGGATGAGGGAGCTGGACACGGAGAGCCCAGTCGTCTGGCCGGCTTGGTGTTATACTGGTAAGCCCCATAGAAGTCTCGATTTTGTTTAAGGACCGTACGAAGTATGCTGACGCGAAACTTTTGCCAACTCTATATTTTATTATTACGTCCTTCTCCTTACTATTTATCTTTTTGCCCTTTTTTTTCTTTTTCGTCAAAAGCGCAATATTGCAATTGCGTAGTGTAAGATGACACGTCACTATTTTACACTGTAACTTGATTTTTCAATAAACTTAATGTATTTTCGGATATTAGCTGTTCAACCTTCGTCGACACCTTTTCCTTATTAAACTCATTAGCGTAGCGAATTCCGAAAAGCAACAAACGATAATAACAAATAGTCATGAAATATTTTAATGTATTGCTACTATTACAACAGAAACGTCCATCTCTTCGCTCTTTTGTGGAAGAAAAAGCTAATTAAATGTGTTCTTAAATTTATTATCGTGTAATTTGTTTCACAACTCACAAATAAATGCACTGTCCAAGTCATTCCATTACAAGTATCAAAGAATAATTACATAAGCAGTATAATGAAATATTATTTATTATAAAATTGTAAATTTCATGTAAAACAGTTTATCTGGCGGCAACATACGAAAAGACTAAATAAATTTAACCAGTTATATTGAATGATAAACATCACATTATTGGATATGAATATGTATGTCATAATAATGAATTTTGTACTGCTTTTACGGAATAAGCCAACTTAAGAGTAAAATTATAAATTGTTAATTAAAACCATAAATCTGATTAGCAAACACGATAATCGTCGAATTTACAAACAAATTGTGTCATGTGTGCAAAATCAAATGTAACTATTAATAATAATTAATTAAAGAGAATATTATACATAATGTTTAATGCACGAGATTTTCATTTGATGAATCGTTCTTCTTAAATAGTAAAACTTTTACAATATGTTTAATCGTTTTACAATATCTGAAGACTAAAAATTGCACATATGAAACGTAATTTAATCAGAAGTATGATTTTGAACGAAGAGACGATTGTTTACTATTTTATTAAATATTTATAAGAGAATTACAAGTGCTATGGTAGTTAATGCTTTATCAAACATCGAAAAGACATGTAAATTCGTTCATAAGCAATATAATATTTTTCCTCCTACGACACGTCATCGTGTCACACCGAGAACTTCGTATTTTAATTAATATTTCGTTTACTATGTTCGAACAATGAGTAATACTCAAATCTTTGTTTTTCTACTCCAACTAGTCTCTTTGCCTACTGACTGTCTATTTTCATTTAATTTTATTTTATTTCATTTTACGAAAAAATCAATATTATCTTTTTTTTTTATTTATATATTTTTTTTTATTTTTTGTTAGCAAGATTCAAACATAATTATGTGAGAATATATAATATAATGCATTATAATGCGTATCAAGATTAATTTCATAAACCGAAAATTCAAATCACTATCTCCGGAGAGATATTCTACATTGTATTCGTGATTGCGTTTCATTAAAAAGGTCAACGTTAATTCATCGGAACTTACGCTAACGTATAATAAATAACCTTCTGGAAATCCTCCAGATACTGTAAATACAAAAGTAAATAGTAAAATATAGGCATTACGTGGAAAGGCATGAAATATTAGGAAAAACGTAAGTAAATAGATTTGGTATGTATGATCAAATGCATCAGAATAATATTATAGTGTAAAGGTTAAGCTACACTTAGCGCCTTATTCATAGACCATCACTACTACATACAGATCATAAAGAACGGCCAACAGATCTTTCACAAATTTTATTATATCGAAAATGAGGTAAAATTAGTTTCTTCCTAATATATCGGTAATGCCGATTCGTCTTATTTTACGACATTAAGCGCAGCATTGTTTACCTCAGATTCCACCTTGAATAGTACGTATGAATTGTTATAGTATTATAAATGCATAATTTTATGTATTTAATGAATACTGTAGGCAAATATTGCAGAAGGTAAAAAGAATATCGGGTAAGGAAAGTTATATTAAGGAGCTTGGTCGAAGTTCTTTAATACAGTCGTTGTGAATGCTGCTCGTATAAGTAGAGACACGCGACTCTTTTCTTACACTTTATAGTCCATTCCATTTACACGGGCCGGCCGTGGCGGCTCGGCCTCACACTAAAATACCTAAAATGCAGATAAGGAATAGTACAGGCAGTACTAAAGAGTCGACTGGATACTCACGTTGCGAGCAATTCCCGAGTATTTCCTGTCTCAAGAGCTGCCAGCCAGCGTTAACGACTTTATCGGGGGTCTCTCTTGGCCGTATCTGCCTTATCGCCCGCTCAGCTTTCTACGATTCAACGCAACCGAAGCGCATTAACAATTTGCCAAGCAATGTCAACAGCATATTTTTACTCAACTAGTCCCATTAGAAGTAATCTTTCGCGTCCTTCCCTCCCTCCCCCACCCCAAACCAGCCAATATCGCATCCCCCTCCCCCCATCCATCCCTACCTCCCCCTCCCCATCGCCATACTTAAACTATCTTGGCCCTCGAGTCGAAGATCCTCACCACTCAATAATTCTATAAAACCCTCGTGGTCCTCGATTTTGACAATTAGGTGGAACGCCAAGGTCTACCTTTTACCCACTTAACCTCCCCAATATATATGTTACCCTCGTTATCCGACTGTATTGGATATCGCGTCATTTGTCTGTTTCTTTGCCAATTAAGAAACGAACCGACACGCACTCCTTAATTCGAATTCTCGACTAGATTTTTAATCGTCTAGGCTTTGCGCTTTTGCATTACTGACGTAAATTATAAACAATATCTATTGAAAAATTATAATCACTGCTAATGATTTTTACGTTGTTCTCAAATAAATAATAAGAAAATAACGAGTTTAAAGCGCTTAGAACGCCAACATGATCATATTCTTTATATTTAATTTATTTAATCAACGCTGCTTTTTTATGCATTTACACTTCTATTGTCTAATACTTTTGTTGAATTTTCCTGTAAAATATTATATGCCAATACAAACTGCACTTTTCAAGTTTTAATAATTTCTATTTTGAAACTTAAATTGCTCCTTTACATAAATGTCATGAAAATAATTCTTTCTATCGAATTATTTTATGACAATAAAAATAGTAAAAATTTTCTTGATTCAATTGTTCAATAAAGAAAAAATTGTTCAATATCACTGATCATGGCGATCATCGTTATATTAAAATTGATAATTTTAGATATAAAAGATTTTTATCGTATACAAGCTAGTTACTACAGCTCATTACTACAATTTCGAGACAAAGTATGGACTTATTATAAGCATATAAAATTAATATATTGAAATTATTAAATTCGCAAAGATGAGTCTAATTATAAAGATCAGGTTGAGCGTTTGGGCGATAGATATTAAAGTAGACAGTTTATTAATAAGCTCGCAAATAAGAAATCTGAATTACCTTTATAATAAATGGTCCGAATTTTGTGAAATTTAGCCAGATTTATATCAATATGTCAATACCATTTCACATGCATTCCTAGGAACTATTAATAAATGCATGAATATACTTATACAGAATAATATATTGTATGAAAACTTTCTCGTAAAGTGAGAAGGTATTATTAGGAATGGAATAAAATAAAGTTGGAAGATGAGTAAATTTATTACTGTTTTTATCTGCGGTCAATACACACATCTTATATCTTGGCTTCTATTCTGAAAGTGTTGAAAGCCATTATTAAAGCCATCCAATTTATAGGGAGCGGGCATATGCAGAGAGATGGAGCGCGCACTAATACGCTCGCATAGGATGAACCTGTACACGTACATTTACGTTTGAAAAAAAAAAAAAATAAGAAAAAGAAAAAGAAAAAGAAATGAACAAGAGGCCATAAAGAGATAAAAACGAAAAACGAGATAAAAGGTAGGATAAAAAGCAAAGAGGACGGGATGAGGGAGTCGCGGTCCGAAGAGCGATCGAGTAATGTTTCGCGATGAATCGCGAAACCGAGATATAACCGACGCAGTTGAAGAGGCTGTTGCTGCCGCTGCTGCTGCTTTCCGTTGCGTAGACTATGACTCGACAGAATTGGAATAGAAAATTGGTTTCAAAGAGGAAGGATGCTGCCTCACCTTCCCCCAAATGCCACCCCATTCTCCTTACGCTATCCCCACCTGACTCAATATCACTTGGCGCTGGCAATGGGATGCGGACTCGCGAACATCGACTTCGGAAGCGACTGCTGCTGCTGCTGTTCCTGTTGCTGCTGTTATTGTCGTTATCGTTGTCGTTGTCGTTGTCGTCGTCGTCGTCGTCGTCGTCGTCGCCGTTGTTGTTGTTGTTGTTGTTGTTGATGCTGCTGATGATGATGCTGCTGATGATGCTGCTGATGATGCTGCTGCTCTTGATGCTGCTGATGATGCTGCTGATGATGCTGCTGCTGATGATGCTGCTGATGAGCTGCTGATGATGCTGCTGCTGCTGCTATGAAGCGACATAGCGACAATCGCAAACGCTTAGCGAGTCGTTTAATAGGGCAACCAAATACGCCAGTCACCTTCTTTAATTGCTAGCTCGCTGTCCACGTACTTGAGCACTGTTCGGATTCTTTACTCTCTTTCTCTTTTTATTCCTCCATACCCCTATAATCGGTATTTTTTGATTTTCCCTATTGCCTCCTTTCCTTGTACATCTTACGTTCATCCATCGAGTCAATCGAGTTTTATGCTTCACGAACGTACACGACCATGTAAATTTTGCTGAAGATTCTAGCGAATATGCGCTTGCAAATAATTCGAACTCTCTTAATAATGATAAAAGTGCACGTATAATTAAACTTTATCTTAACAGAAAATGACTCGACAGCTTATAACACTTTTAAAAATCTTATCTTCCTTTATACCTCTATTAAATTTCATTGAGAAAAATCGCTAATGATATGTGGCTATCTTAATTATTATTATATTGCCTTCTTATTAACAAATCGTTGTATAAATACGATGTAAATGTAAATAAAGTGTCTTTCTCTCTCTCTCTCTCTCT